AACACTCTGTATTGGCAGGTGGGCCAGAAACAGGCATTCTCATAAATTGCCAGTGAAAGTGAAATTGGTATAACTTTTGTAGGGAGCAACCAGCCAAAATCTAGCAAAATAACAAATTCATGTACTATCTTAGTAGTTTTTATGGGGAGTTCTGGTAGTGTAGTGTCTAAGGCATTTGACTGCTAACCAGAAGGCTGGCAGTTCAAACCCACTGACCACTCCTCAGAAGGAAGACTGGGCAATCTACTTCCTTAGAAATACTGCCTCTGAAACCCAAGGAGGGGTCATTATGAGTGGGATTGGACTCCACAGCAGTGAGTTTGATTTGGTTTGATTTCTCTTAGTACGTGTGAGGTTGAGCATCTTAAGTCCCAACTGTATTTTATCCACTGGATTTTGCAACATGACATCACCATTGACTTTGGTGCAACTAGTTTTAGTGGCATGAAAGAGGGGTAGTCAGTTAAGACAGGGCTGAGGAATAAATAGGACATTAAAAGTAGATAGTTGGAGTGGGCAAGAATTTAAGTAAGAAGAGAGAAATAGGGGTCATGGTTGGAGGGGAAAGGAGGGTTTTGAGGGGAGGTGTTTAAAATTCAAAAGATATGGGTGATGGTTGCACAACATGTTAATATAATCGATACCACTAAATTGTACATTTGAAATATGTTGAATTGTCAAGTGTCCTACTATACTTATTTTTACGAAAATGAGAAAGGGAAGGAAGTCTCAAGACCTTGAACTATGTTTAAATTGCAGGAACTCTACACCTTGCCAGTTACTAGCTGGGTGACCTTGTGCAAGTCACTTAATCTCTCTGGGACTCATTTTCCTGATCTGTAAAAATAGGGGTGATAACAATCCCTACCACATAGGGCTGTTCTAAGGATTAAATGAGTGGACACATTTAACAAAGTCAAAAAAGGCCTGGCAAAATGTCATACTGTATGACCGACCGGTCCTCCTCTCCTCAGACCTCTAGCTGTGTTTTCAGAGTGAATGATCTTTTCAGAACAGTCTCATTGCTCCAGTCTCGGGTGAGAATGGCTGCCGCTGCGCAGCCGCTAGCAGCAGGCGAGGCTGGGGG